TAATAAGGCGTTTTCTTTTTAGGGCTCGTTTTCAAAGAACCATGGTTCGTTATAAACATTATAAAATGCTGAGAAGGAAGTTTTTAATACTTTTTATAAATAAATCTTTTAGCTCTCTCTTGTTCAGCACTGAATACCAAATTATTTATATTTATTAAATAACTTCAATAAGTTAAACTTTCTAAAAACAATAATCATTCTGTGATCCAAAGACTGATCGGACTTTCCTAATGAACTTTCCCTGTTGTACAAACATCAGAGACCAAAATAGTTACCTTGATGTTTATTATCAGCATTTGTTTTAATTTGTCGTATTTTATCTTTTTTAGAGGTGCAGATGCATATCCCCACAATGTTTTAGCGATCAGAAGAAGTTAATAATGGAAATAGTGGATGACCTGTTGGAGACGGTGGCTAGCGTACTGAACGCTATTCAGAAGTTTCTAGTAAGATATGAAAAAAATAGGGAGGCAATAAGAAGTCGTTTTACTATTTTTTATACAAGTTTCGAGAACTTCACACTCATAGATAAAAATGCTACATTGTTAATTTAATTTACATTTCTTTTTTATGATGATATGTATATTAACCACTGGATGAGATAATAAACCATTCACTAAGCAAATCTACTACTAGCTGAAGTCGGACGACTTACTAACTGTACAGCTTGACTACTCCAAAACACATAACCGCACATAATCATTATGACATAATTAGATACCGTAAACTCAATTCCATATCCGTATTGTCTGTAAGTTTCTCATACAAATTGCTAGTTATTACGCGAAATTGCAATCAAGTGTAGGTGACCACACTGCTATTATTTAGGTATTTTCCTGCAAAAAATAAAAACACAGAATTCCTACAATACTATTTTTAAAACAGCTAAAAGGATACAAGCCCATTTACATATTGGGTAATATTTAAAATAAGTATTCGAGCTTACGAGTAAAGAAATATAAAACAAATACATATTAGTCTGATATCTCAACGTTACAAAACTTGAATTTTAATAAAAACAGCGATTTGAAATGTTAAATCGTATGCTTGCTTCATCCGAGCATGCAGTGCTAAGTGCATACGCAAGTGGCTTCCTTCAAGAGACGACTTACAGGAAGGGCTAACTCATTAGAAAGTATAAGCAAACTATATTAGCATTAACATAACAGATATAACTGAACAAGGATATGTATAGAATCACATTCAAAGCTTGTTGAAGACATATAGTCAAGAAAAATTCTACCTCGAATTACATACACAAACTTTGTTAGCTTTGCAACCAGTCTAACAGGAGAGTTGACATACGAGTATTCGTAATCGTCTTTAGAAGTGACTTAATGAAGTGGATGAGTTGCAGCAAGTGGATATAAATCCATATTAATTTAATTTATGGAACAGCACTTATGCAACCTAACATACATACTTAGGGCATACTGAAAGTTTCTGAAAGATTCTGATAAATAATACTAGATATAAGACTTACGATACATTTATTGTTTTTCAAAGCATATTCCCTCGTAACTAATGCATTTTTGCATTCGCTGAAACCACTGTACAAAGCAGTTGGACCAGTCTTAAATTACTGTAACAGTTAAGTCATGCGGTATCCATCGAGTGCAAAGCTTCGGAACCTTCAGATGCACATGTAAAATGTTTTGCACTTGGCTCATTCCAATGACTAACAATGCAGTTTCAATAAGTTGTCGCACGGTGTGAATTAGTCTGTAACCGCAGTCGCCGGCCGACCTCGTGTACCTCGTCATGGAAATAGTCACGTCTACGTCTAAATTCTCCAAACCACGAGTACACATACGAGCTGCAACATAGTGCTTTATTACCAAAAGCCAATTGAAGTCTTTGTCTTGAAAATCATAAAAATCATTGAACAAAAATTCACAAGTTAAATTCATTTTGATAGCGACATACAATTTTCGATAGGACGTCACAATAATATTTACTTTATTTAAATTAGTGTATTGTCATCGGTCCTCGATATATCTACAAAGTTTAAACGAATTCAGACCGTTTAAAGTCAGTCAAAATCACGCCCAAAGGAGTCGGTTACAAACAAACATACAAGTGAAGCTAATATAAAGCGTGTAAAAACAATTGACAGTCTCGCAAATTAAAAAGTAACATGTTCCCAAAGAGTTCCATTTCGAATTCCATAATTGTTATACATACTATACTTAATACTTTCAGTATGCCCCACATATTTAAAGCTAAGATTCTAGTAATTATGACCTCGATATATGTATCGTACAAACTGCATATGTGATAAAGATACACAATAATATTTTTTTGTTGAGGTCAAACTTCCATAACCATATGTGAGAACTAGTCATATAACAAGAACACACATAAATCAAGTTCTTAATTTCTGTACTTACATTCAGCGCCATTTTAAAAATGTAATGAATCATTTTGAAAAAAATACTACTTTTGGTCAACACAATGCAGTGTAAATCAAACGGTTTCCTTTTTTGAGCACGCAATGCGATTTGGTACCTTATGCCCGAAGTGGCCGCTCTTGCCGTGGCTTACCATGTTGAAATCAAAATAAGAAGAAACTATAAATTATACATTTCGATTCAAACGACAAGACTGATAGATAAAACCTGTCAATGTGACTGTTATTTTATGCAAATCATTTTTGCATTAAAAAATTCCGTATCGAATATTATACATTTGGTCCCCATAAGTAACAAAAATACCGCAATATGAAACTAGGTCGGTGGTAGAAACCCATCTCACCACGAGGAAATGTACACTACAATAATTGAGCTATCTAGCCAAATGTTCCGGTTTTGATATTGTTTTCGTTACTTTCACTCTACTTTTAAAAAAGTATTTTATGCCAAGACGAATTATCAAATTCATATCATTGTGGGGATTTTGATCGTGTGTATCTGCATACTCAAAGTCAAAATCTACATTCACAGCTGTAATATTGTCGTATGAGTTTTGACGAGTGCGCCAAAACATCGTAAATATAAACATGGGTCGTCCATATTTCTTTAAGTTTTTTCAAGATTGTAAAATACATGTTTATATGTTGAGCCACGTCCAGCCACTTGCAGCTCCGTTTACGAACTTTAGACTCAACAAATGTAAGTAGGTACATTCACGTTGGGTTATTTTCGTTAAAATCATATAACAAAAATATAATTTCGTATTAGAATACTTAAGAAAACCTATTCTATATTTAATATTATCAGATGACCTTGAGTTTTAACGGCCAGGCAACTCTAAACTAGTTTGATTGTTTAAAATTTTTAGCTAACGGCCTAAGAATATGAATTTTACGCAAGTCTTTGCACATGTTAGCTACATTCTTTAAATTTTGTGATATCCTGGAAGATGTACTTCCACAAAATAATTTCAAATGAATTGTTGCAATGATATTTCAGAAAAAACACTGAAATAGCTTTGTTTCCATTTTCGTCTGATGTAAAGCACAATTGTAGCTATTAAAAAGTCATTCAAGCATTTTAATGGTACGTACTTCTACATCGTAACTACCAACATTATAAATGTTTGTTCACACGGAAATAATTATCAGGACTGTAATGCACAGACCATGGTAAATATTGGTATTCCTATTATAAACCTAACGAGTACTTGAAAATGTTATTATAGCAATGGTGAACCCTAAATATAGCATCAGTAGTCTGTACTTAAAACAATGACAGCAAGAGTTTGTTTCGTTTTTCACCATCAATAGGAAAACACAGAGCATCGACTTACACATATGCTTTGCATATTTGCATTTATCTCTTTTCTATCTTTGCTTATCGGGTCCGGTATCCAACGGATTTGCATGAACCAACAATCGCCCTGTATCTCTACCGGTAATTAGAAACTAGCTACTAACGGTACCTATTTGTAGGCAGCGCTATGTAGTATAATAAATCTTTGACTAGTTACGCATTAGGAGTCGTGACAGTTTTCTCAATTTAAGAGTAAAAGCAATATTTATCCCATCAAAAACAACAAAAATAATAATATTTCGGACAACTGACAAACAAGGCCATCTAGTTTCAAACTAAGCAGAGCTTGTATTATGAAAGCTAGATTGGCTACTTATATACTTTTTTTTCTGTAAATACATACATATTATACATTGAAAACACGAAACACCGAAACCAATATTTACAGATCATACAAACATTTGGTCCGATACCTCAGCACAGTAGTCGTATACGCTACCATTGCACCACCGAGGCAGTTGGTGCCACCGTACCACTGAAAAATCCAAGTTTCGCAGAGATCTATTTGTTCTTTAGTTTTTAACCAACAATATTGTATAGTGACCGTGTCATCATCAGTCATCACATAAGAATAATATACACTATTTTTAATAATCATAATTGAGCATAATGCTAGTGAAACTTTATATTCACAAATTTTTTTTGTATGTTTGTGCTGCGATTTCTCCGTCAAATTGTGGACCGATTTTCAAAATTCTTTTTGTAATCAAAATTAAGAGTAGACAAACAGAGTAGAAGGTATCTATTGCTATTATAATGTTACATGCTTTATTGAGGGTCGCACTTATTTTAGTTTTTTCAATTAGATTTAATTATTTTTTCATTTCTTGTGCTCCTTATTAGTATAGTTTGAAGAGTCGGTTCAACTTTGTTTTTTAAAGTATTTATTTCTTATTTGAATGATTTATAAGTGTTAATTCGTTGTCAACTTTATCTAGCAAGGAATGTAGCGAACATTACGTGTGTTATGGTGTCTTAAGTAGCTTTACGGTTTATTAAACTTGCTCTCCGATAGTTGTCTGTTGTCATTGCAAGTATGGCAATACTGTTAGTGATTGATGCGATTGTAATTTCTCAAGTACCGTTGCTTGTATCGGATACGAGTTAAATTGACGCAAACCACACAGTGATATAACGCGGCTACTATTCACAATGTTCCTAATCACTATAATTGAAACTTTATCACAACAATGGTTACTTGCGCTTAACCGAATAATAGTAGAGAATAAATTAGTTTACTAGTAACTTACCAATACTTCTATCGGCTAAGGCGTGCAATATTCCACACAATGCAGTTGCAGTGGATACGGCATTATTTCCAACAGGTTGATTCACACACTCTGTTGATTCAGTCTGAGCAGGTTCAAATAAAGCTAAATCCAGTCCATCCATGTCACTCCGGTTCGACACACCATCCGCTTCTGCCACTTGATCACAGAAATGTTCAGGGGAGTCAACATCTTTTGGACTACGACTGCAAATTCCATCGCTCAAAGGGTCACAACAACAGGTGTCCGAGAAAGGCTCGAAATCTCTACAATCAAATTCACACCGTTCGAAGCTATCACAAGTGCACGATGACAATGCATCTGAATCGGATTCTTCGGCATCCAATACATCACTGTTTTGTACAGCGTCTTTCAGAGACGTTTCAGTTTTGGCAGAAATATAAAACACGCTGGAAGTAAATGGCACTTTTTGAACTTGTAGTGTCAGGTTTTCGGATAGTTTATCGGAAGTATAAACCTGATCGTCACTTTCTGACAAAGTCTCGTCAATCTGTGGACGAAAATCCTCGTAACGAGCAAAACTTGAGGTATCGGTGAGATTTGATGAGCGATCAACGGAATATACATCTGCATAAAGATCTACGGAATCATTCTGGATTGCTGGTAATCTGTAAGGGGCATGATGCGAGCGAGCACCTAAAAATATGGTGGTATATGGGCATGTATGCAGCGGTCGACTTCTGTCAGCACGTCGAGGGTAACTGGCGGCAAGAGGGTCTCGCATAGGTGTGCCATCAGTATCGATAAAGGCCTCGTTTGTTGAGAGCACGTTGTACCGCCAATCTGGCATCGCTGACCGGCACCATCACTGTACGGCAACACTATGGATCAACTGTTCTCCTCATCACAAGGTCACATGTAAGCTAACTTATAAGCAATTCGAATGCTTATAAGTGCATTATGTCACTCTGATTGTTGAAACTAAACGAAACAAACAAACAATGTATCTACTGTCGTTAAGCCATCAATTGTGTAAATAAAAAGTAAAATAAAAATGGTGTTCTGAATAAACTCATGTGTTCGTTTGTATTTAATTTTAAATTGTAGTTTTTACCTATTAAAAAAAATATAATTGAATAAATATTTTAAAGTCTTGTTTAGCATCTAATAGATATGTTAAAGTCGCTAGGTAAGATACGTTCTTTTGGTACTAATGTCAAAATATAGCTTTCTGTTAAGTCAACCAACATTATGTGAAGTATAAACACTAATAAAAAAAGGCATCGTTAGTTTAATGAGTAAGACACAACAAATTAAAACAAGTGCGAGTAATACAATTATGTAGGTCAGTATAGACTGGGTAATATAATAAATTGCCAAACACAATATATGTATGTATACATATCTCACGAATACCGATAACGTTTACTGTAACTGTTAAGAAACAGTACTCAATTTGAATAGTGCAGGCATTGATAGATACTATTTTAACCTTACGAGTATTAGTCATCGAGTACTTTATAGATAAGTAAAACGATATAAAAGGATATATTCAAAGTTTTATTTTAGTTCAAATAAGAGCGTGTATAGAGAGTAACGGAATGTATACAATTAGACTTCTATTTAAGTTGGCGGATTTATTTTGAGACTGGTTGAGATATGTAACAGGTTCAGTACGTTACGGTATCGTATTGATGCTTAGGACCCGTTACGTTAGAATTATTTTGGTTTCTCGTCTGCCCACAAAGTCCGGGCTGTTATATACATACATAAGTGGGTATATTTTTATTAGAATTGGGAAATAATTTATTTTCATTATGGCGTTATATGTGTTTTAAGAGGAATTTACATCAAGTTGTCTAATTAATAGATACCTATAACTCGTTATTTAACGTTTGGAGGATCAGTCTTCATACAAAAGTATGTCCTCTCTAAAACCAATGATACAATTTTCAGAATCCATTTCACTTCACCATACACTTCACCATAGAGCATTTTTAAATTACAAATAATTTACTTACACTCCCTTCAGATTATGTATTTTTCATTTGTTCCCTTTGTTTTTATATTTTTATCTTTGTTTACTGAATATTATAGTTGCAATTTTTGCATTAAAATAAGAACAAACCCTAGTAATACGTGTTAAGTACATGAATAATACCCCTTAAAAATAAAAAATAAAATTCTTTGTTGATTAAATTATGTGTAGGTAGGTATATAAAAATAGTAGTTGGTTTTTGTACGCGTCAGTTTTGTCCCTCATAATTTCTCATCAATGCAACCACCACAAGGCGCCACAGTTAAGTATGGCATGAAAATGGTTCATCTCATTGAAATTTTGAGTATGACCAACTCAATAAAAAAAATTGTGGAAATGTATTCACCTCACTCTGCAATTTCGGGTCGGTTTGCCCCATTTATCTAAGTTAGATTAGCTTATGACAATTACTTATCAATGTATCAATCATCTTTTACAAACATTTTTTATTTTTCCCGATGCAAGGACGTTAATTGCTGAAGAGTTCTCCTGGTAGTTTATACCTATGCATTGTGATGTGCATGCTTGACAACTACATTAAAATAATCAAATTGCAAATCGTGAAATTATGGTACCTATACTAACTAGCTACTATAGTATTCCAGGCCATCTGATGATTATTCATCATCAATTCCACTGTACTAAATTTTGCTTTCCATGTGCGAAAATATCCAAATCGCTATTGGTTTTGCTATAACTTAAGAGTTCCCCACGAACAGGATCCTATCGTCAAATCTTGACCAGATGACAGTAAACTAATTAGGAAGCATTGAGTGTACTTCAAGACAAAATAGATTTTTCTAAATCGGACAAACCATCTTCAAATAATCGGGTAGCATACATAAAAGGTATAAATATAAATAAATATCAGTGGGAGAAAAGTTCGAATTGAAATAGTTACAACATGTACTAGTGCATCATTTTATCTAAATCGCCAATTTAATTTTCCAATTATCATTAAAAAACACAAATGTGAAGTAAGTGAATAAAGGGTCAACCGCCTCGAAGTCGTGCCTAGAAAACGCAATTATATGTATAAGTACCTGGGCTGAAATTGTTATAGCGGCTTGATAATAACAGACATCGTGAGCTCTGAACGCTGCTCAATGTATTTACGATGAAATCCAGTTTTTAACTAAACATCTATTACTACTACTGGATTCATAAACAAAATTGCAACATCTTTTACAATCGCATTTTAATCTGTAAGTACTGAACTTGTATAAAGTTTGATCCCGAAATTGTAGTTTTATCAAAACGATTAAAGTTAATACGGTAAACACTGTTAAGTATTTACAACTTTACATCGCCAAACTAGATCCTTCTTATTTTGTTTGGTAATGCAGAATTTAAAACTATGTATGTACTATGTAGACTTCTATCAATTCAATGTGAGTGCTGTAAAAGTACGTCTATGCAAATCTGTTACTAGCGAGCGTTAGTGAAAACTCAAATATTTATATCCTAATTGGGACATAATTGCTTTTAGCTAGCAGTAATTGGCGACAAAAGCCTTCTTGTTTACCTATTTCGTACCTTTGACGCTACTTATTAGTGGAATGGAATAAGCGAGAGGGTTTATTTTTTAATTTCAATGTAAATCTATAGCATAAAGACATGTTAATAAGTAACACAGATATTATAACATAAATATTTTTCGGTACATCGAAGTTTACCTAGCGGACGAAGGCACGTGCTACAATTCCTCTTAGCAGGAGTGGGGCCCACGATAAAAGCATCATTATTAGCTACCCACGGTCAACGAACGAAAATAACCAACCATTTCACTCGTGTACCTGCGCGTACGTCTAATGGGAATAAGAAATCTGAATCTATAATTAAATAAATCACTATAAATAATAGAAAAGAATATTTTTTTAAATGTTCGAACATACTTTGCACTCTATTGGAGCACTTTGGTTAATCTTTGTTTAAATTAGAAATTTGAAAATGCTGCTTTCAATTTTATCTAGCTTACATTTCAAGGATATCATCGTTTTTTTATATTTACTATTAACATATGTAAAATTAGGCAAATAAAGAGTAAAGAACATATTTTTTGTAAAATACATTATTTAAGTGTTACAATCATTACATAACCCATGTTTACATATTCAAATAGATAGACGGTTAGACCCCAATCTCTAGAATACTTAATTTAATGTTTAACAGATACAGTTATGACTGTAATAGAATTTACTGACATCCCAAAACAACTAACTCAAGCACAATCAGGAAAAAAAGTAATGGAAGAAAAACTGATAAAAAGTATTTATGTCACAAATTTTTGTTCTCTGGAGCTATATTGCGATATCTCATAAGTTGTATGTAATTTTTTTTGGGTTTAAAGGTGACTTGAACCATCATGTTGTTTGAATGCAAGAAAATCTGTTAAATAATCATCAGCTATTTAATTACGGACGTATTTTAATTTTATACAAATATATAATTATTTCGTAAATATATATACGAAATGTGTAGAACAAAAAGTATAAATACAATCATAAACCTTAAAACACATTACATCGTGCCACAAATTATTCCATTTTTTTGCATCGTGCCGTGCTGAATCAGAATTTTGTGCCACGCTTATAAATTTTATTATTATTTTGATATTTCTTACTAAAACCACATTAGTAATAGCCACATTCACTTTCCTTTTTTATGGATATTTGTGAATACAGTAACTATCGTGTCAGTACATAAATATTTAACAGTTTGTTACGAGATTTTTAAGCTAGGAATGTTGGCCTAGACAAAGCTCTGCGCGACCGCCTTAGGAAGAGCTCCCCGGAGAATCAAAGACCACCTTTAGATGTTGCATGGTAAATAGCGGTGAGAGTTGCATCGACTATTGGGGATTATAAACCAGGTTTATAGTTGGTATCGGGTCTAGCTCCTAGCAACGGTGGTCGATATTTTATGCTCGCGTAGGTATTATCGACGCCCCACGGTCGCTACTCCTTGCCTTTGCCATAGAGCAACAGTCGATAGCTAGGGCTTACATGGTTAATAGTTAAAGTACTTTATTTATATGTACTTACATAATATAAATAAATTACTTTAAGTATTAAATATGTAGTACTTAACATTGAATGAAAACCATTAACCAGAAAGAAGGTTTAATTGTATTTTCATTATACATATTGTAAGGGCAAGAAAAGAGAAGAGAATGTGTTACCATGACTTCTATGGGTTAAAATGAAACCTATTAAAATAGAATATAACATCAATACTGTTATAATCAATCGTTACTTAAGTATTGAGGTTGATTGATTTCTGAGATTTTTAAGCTCCCGAGTCCCCTTGAATGTGGTATGTAAGCAAGTCGGTCCCTACTCCTTTTTTTTGTTAAACTAAGTGAGTTTATGTCGCTTAGATAGATTTCGATAACAGCACAGTTAAAATCCTTTTACGAATTTGCTGACTGGCAAGCAAAGATAAAAAAGTATTTAACTAATAAACAATTCTTACGAACCTAAAATAAAAAAGCTCAATTACGAAGTATTAATTAATAATTATTTATTATTTAACTTATTTGACTGAATTGTCATGTTAATAAATTTAAAAAATGAACAGAACTATTCTGTGCATTTAAAAATGACGGGTAATAAATTTAGACAGAAATTATTGCTACTTTTAACTTCACATGTGTTTATGATTTGTCATAAACAAAGATAAATGGCATTGAAATCAATCAAAATTCTTTTGCGAGTCTTGGGCTAGCGTAATAATAACAATTAAGTAGCAGTGGTTTTGTAAATCAGTCCCAGGTGCGATGATTTCATTCAGAAATTATGTGATTTTTCGCA